TCTGTGATGCCACGATCCGACCCCGCATTCTTCTTTATCTTTTTACTGTCCGCTGCTGGCTGATACGAAAGCTCACGTTCTTTTCTGCAACTCGCGCACGCTTGTGTCTCTAGGAACTTCTAGGGTTCTTCGGCGACAAGATCTCCCGCCGTAATTTTGTTGTAATCACGTGCATGTTACCGTAATATCTATATAAAGAATTGTAACATGCAAAAATTTAAAGGTTTGGCAATCACTAACTAAGTGAAATTTGCTTGCATTTTCATTCAAAGCCAACACATACCCGGCAATTATCAAGGATAATTAGAAACGTCATGTCGAACAAGAACAAGGCACTAACCCACCCCACTTACCAATCCAACTTCGCAAGCATCCACCAACAACCTAAACATATTAATCCTCTAACATGCAAGAGCTTCTACAATCCCTGAGAAGCCATTTTTCGAGATATTAACAGTCGTCGGACCAAATACGTTTCCCATCGATTATAAATTCTTTAATCTTTTATGTATCGTGACACTTTGTAATTTGAATAAGTGTTACAAGAAAATGCACGTTATCAGAATGTGTTATAAGCGAGGAATCAGTCCCGATGAATCATAGAAGCCCCCTCAGTCACGACATCTAAAATCATCACTAATTTTGTATGGAGAGTCTGTAACCCACTGTTTTTCCGATTTCAACGGGTCGCGACTTGATCTGGTATACCAATCCAACAAAAGGAAGATAACATCAGCGAAGTTAAATGTTTCAAATTATTTGCCAAAGCAATATAATTAAAAGAGGCAATTTTTTTTTATTAATTTCAAGTGTTTTGCTACAACTGGGGAGGGAATCGAAAGGCAAAGTGTACAAATCTCCATTTTATTCTTTATGAACTCTGCATATCGCTATATTAGACTCAATATTCCTATTTCCCAAATGAAAGTAGGATGATAAGAGAGCTATCACTTCAAGATCTTCAATATGTACTTGTTTCTTCTTCAGTATGTTTAATTTAGTCCCTAAATTATATGAAAAATGTCCAATGTTGTTCCTGAGCATGAAATAATGTAAGAACAATATTGGATATTTTCATATAGTTCGAGGACTAGATTGAACATTTACCAAAAGTTTAGGAACCATATTGAATAAATTAAAGGTTCGGGGACGACACTGCATGTTGGACTAAAGTTCAGGGAATATATTGAACAAATTAAAAGTTCATGGATAACATTGCACATTGGGCCAAGGTTTATGGACTATTTGTATAATTATCTCTATATTTAATGATATACCCGGATTTGTTCATCTAGGTGACTTCCGTAATATTTACTTAAGGTATACATGGCGAGAATGAAATCAATTGAAATCAAACGTCAAGAAAGCTTATCTTAGTGGCACGATTAAGATATACTGATCCGATGAAGAGTATTATTAGGTCATGAGAGAACATCTTATTTCACGTTCATTTGGATCGAACTCATCGAATTTTTTTTTTCATGAATTTAATTAGCCACATCAATAGAACCGTGTAAATTCAATATATTTTCTTCGCAATTGATTCACTTTTGACTTTGGATTGCCTCAAATTGCACAAATAATCCAAAGCACTTAATAAGATAAAAATAAACATTGAAGGACCCATTTTTTTTTATTTATAAAAAAGGCCAAAAGAACAAGAACGTACAAAATGTCCCTTGGCCTACCAATTGGGTCGGTTGTGAAGATATTGTGCCCTAAGATTTTAGTGTGGAGTGGCCTGTTTTTGCAGGCATACATACGTGGTAGCTTGAAAGACTCAAACAAATTCACATTAAAAAAATGGCAAGAAGATTCGAAATGGTGACGACTGACGAAAAGTCGAATTGTGAAAGTGAAGTGGCCTTTCGGATTTGGATCGACGTGCCTTTTGATTTGGCAAGGCCAAAAAAGCAATCTAGAATACCGGGGACACGCGAGAATAATACCAATTGAAAAAAAGGTAAAAATAATTGGATAAATTATCGTGTAAATAGTTCTTACCAGATTAAACGTGGTTAATATTCGTTATCTATTTGGATTTGTGGAATCTTTACCTAGCTAGTTGAAGTGAATTTCTTGTTTAGCCGACTTATCTGATCAAACACGATGGTTAATTTATTCCCTATGTCCAACATTTTTCCTAATCATATAATTAAAAGGGGAATCCGATCTAGAATTTGTTGTTAGGGATAGAGTTTGGGAGGACTTTTTATGCCAAAGACATAGTATTGACATCTAGTTAGTCTATTTCGAGATGATCAGGCACTGTTAATCCAAAAAAAGAGTTTTGTGATGCCCTCGACCAGGTCTAAGTTTAGTGAATTAATTTTTAATTGAAATTGGTAGCATGAGTATAGGAGGACTCCTAAGGTAAATTGGAGCAAATAATAGGAATATAATGAGGTTGAGTGCACAACCAAATGCTATGGCAGTTCAATTTGTTAGAGAAATATTATATATTTTATATTTGAAGAAACGTCTCACGTATTCATGGGATGGGGAAGGCTTTAAACCCTAGAACCCGATAGTTATGAGGTATGATAGTGAATAACTCAAGTACACATGGGTCGAAAAATAGTCGATACTCATAAAAGATAAAGAAAATTAGGAGACAATTTAAAAAAAAGCACAAGGAATTAAACTGTAGATCTCTTAGCCCTTGAAGAAAACTATATAATCTTTTTTTTTTGGTAAGGATAACTATATAATCTTTTAGCACTCCCTGCTTGAAAAATCGCACGTAGATGACGAAATAAGGAGTCGGCTGAAAATGAAAAATGAATAATCGAATTAGCTATAGACTCACACAACATCGAAACGAGCGTTTGGCCAGACGAACTCCACAATATTAAGCTGAAAGATGGAGGTATGATTAGTTATTCGAGCTCCTTATGCGTAAACTAGGTCTTGGGAAAGCCTTGCCTCAAACTTAACTTTAACCATTCCTCGACTTTTCAAAGTGGTTAAATAGACTAGTAATTAGGGAATAATTGTTCAAAAAGTCCTAAACCTATTGTATAACGACCAATTCAGTCCTAAACCTGTCAATTGTGCAAATTTAGTCTTAAACCTTTCAATTTATCAATTGACTCCTAAACCTTTGAAAATTTTTTCAATTCAGTCCTAAACCTATTATTTCAATGTTAGCTAGAAGGATTACGTTGCTAAATCGTTAAAAGATTTAAGATTAAATTTGCACAATTAACAGGTTTAAAACTAAATTGGCAAATCGTCAAAAAGTGTTTAGAACTAAATTTGCACAATTGAAAGGTTTATGATTGAATTGGTCGCCGTAACATAGGGAGAAAATTGTCCAAAAAGTCCCAAACTTATTTCATTTTTGCCAATATAGTCATAAACCTTTCAATTTTACCAATTCAGTCCCAAACCTTTTAACATTTGTGCCAATTCAGTCTATTCGGCCAATTTTGGCCTGCTGATGCTAACGTGGACACTAGTCGGTGCCTGCCGTCTGGCTAACGGTAACGTGACAATTTTTTAAATTTTTTTTTGAATTTTTTATTCTTTTATTATTTTCCCTCTTTTCCCTTTTTTTCTCCTTTTTTTTTCCCTTCTTCCCTCTGGCCCGTCACCGGACCAGCCAGAGGCAAAGACCTTGCCGGACTTTGGCAAAGCTCGCCCGGTCATGGTAAGCCAACCTTGCCGTTGCTGGGTGAGGGAGAACCCAGCGACGGTGAGGTCAGCCTCACCTTGGCTGGGCGAGGTCGAGCCTCGCCTAGACAAGGGGACAAGTCTCGCCGGCCCTCGCCTTTGGTAGAGGGGCAAAAAAAAAATTGAAAAAGAAAGAAAAAAAAGGAAAAATAAAATAAAATCGAAAAAAATATATTAAAATATCAAAAAAATTGCCACGTCAGTGTTGGCTAGACGGCTAAAATTGGCCTGATGGATTGAATTGGCATAAATGTAAAATGTTAGAATTGAATTGGCAAAAATATAATAGGTTTATAACTTTTTGGATAATTTTTCCTGTAATTAGAATTAAGCCAACATATTGATTCCAAAGTTTGACCATGATCATATGCAAGGCAGTTATCAATCTCATGATGAGTTGTACCTCTTCAAGTTAAGGCAAAGCCACACATTTCAACTTCCTAAAGTCACTCACGCACTAGGCAGAATCTTGTTCTTTATTAGGACATAAAGGCTTGGGAAAAAGATGAAGGGCAGAGACTGGTGTCATATGGTTGCTTTTCTTGTCCTAAAAGAGTGCTTGTTTTTACGACATTTTTCTTCTTTCCATCTATATATACTTGCGCATGATCACCGGGTCTTTCTCAATTCTCTTTCTCGAACACAGAATGAGAATCTTCAGAGAGAGAGAGAGAGAGAGAGAGAGGTGTCCCCAAGTGGATAAACCCTAGTTTCATTCTCCAACTCAGCAGATGCCTCCAAGATAAATGCACAAAGAAAAATTCCCATGGTTGAAAAGAACTTGTTTCAACAATGAGCCAAAAAAAAAAAAGAAACTTAAATGAGGGATAAAATACTTTTCGGTATCCATGAATTGATTAGTAAATAGTTCCAAATTATAAACCCTAGCTAGTGTTGAGAAGTAAATGAGGGAGATGGGTTTCATTGCTAAAAGAGCGAAGAATTACTCGGCCTAAAAATAAAATTTCCCATAAAATGGAGGATACTTATACAAATATGAAAAGCCATGAAAATTAGAAAATTAAGGATATAGTGGATACAATGTGAAGCCGTACAAAGGACATGTTGCCTATGTTACATATTGAAAGAATCTTATTCTTTTGTATGCAGCTTCTGTTCTCTAGTGCAAATGCAGCAGTCCTTATCTATGTTGCAATGATCAAGAGTTCCATGAGAATCCTTGTGAAAATAGCCAAATATCTAAAGGAAAACTCTCTCTCTCTCTCTCTCTCTCTCTCTCTCTCTCTCTCTCTCTCTCTCTCTCTCTCTCTCGCATGCAAATCCAAAACCCCACCTTGGAACATCTATATAAGCATGTCCTCATGAAGCCTCAAGCACTCCACACAACACAAGAAACCTGAAAATCACATTCCAACCTTCAAGAGCTCACTTTGCTCTCTCTCTCTTAAAGCTTATTATCACTCTCTGATATTTACTTTAGTCGACATACTTGGAGTCCCCGACATCTCGAAGCTTTTTCTCAATGGAGGATCTGGTGGAAAGGATGATCTTGGAGAAGCCGGTGGTGATCTTTAGCAAGAACTCGTGTTGCATGAGCCACACCATCAAGACGCTTCTTTGCGACTTCGGGGTGAACCCGACAGTCCACGAGCTAGACGAGATTCCGAGAGGCAAGGAGATCGAGCAGGCACTCGTGAGACGTGGATGCAGCCCGGCGGTCCCCTCCGTGTTCATCGGCGGCCAGCTTGTCGGTGGAGCCAATGAGGTGATGAGCCTCCATCTTAATAGGTCCTTGATCCCTATGCTCAAGCGCGCCGGAGCATTATGGGTTTAAAGGATTTCATCAACAGCCTCATCCGGCCAACTTAGAAAGAAGAATAAATAAACAATGTGTGTTTTTGGTACACGAGTTTTGGAAATATAGGTATACTAGTCGGATGTGTTGTCATATGTATGAAGAGAGCTCGTCATAGTTAATGTTGGACAAAACCCTAACGTATATGGGGTTTGTATCATTTTGTGGTGACTCCTGTTTTTGAATTGAATAATAAAAATGACGCAGTTTTGCTATATATCGTACATCTTTTATATATATAATTAAGGAAAGGAAAAATTTTAAGTATACAGCTTGCATAACCTTTTTGATACACAACCCATATCCATCTGCATTGATTTAGATAGTCTGTCAACTTTTCAAATTATAACTATCCACTTCAATAGTGCTGAAGGTAGATTGACTAATGGGAAAAGTACCAAAAGAGTTTTAATTCTATCGCATTGGAACAAATTCAGTCATAAACCTTTCAATTAGATCGGTTTATTCAAAAACATTTTCACATTGGTATCAATTTAGTCCATCTGACCAATTTAGATCGGAATTTGCTGACGTGGACGCCGGCCGTCCTATATGACCTGGTTGGCGGATGACTAGCACTAATGTTGGCATTTTAAATAACGTTTTAATAATGTTTTAATTTTTTAAATTTTTTCCTATTTCCCATAATCGGTGACCGACCACAGGTGAGGGTCGCCCTCACCCCCTCGCCAGATTCGATGAGGACAATCTCACCCAGGCCGCGAGGGTCCAGCCCTCACCAGATCTAACGAAGCGGCCCTCGCGTAGGCCACGAGTAGGGGTGTGCAAAAGAACCGGGAACCGCCTGGACCGCCTAGGATAGCTCAGAACCGGACCGAAACCGGTGGTTCCTAAGGGAACCGGTCCTGTTCCCGGTTCCAATTTTTGGGAACTGGTGGGTACCGGTCCGATTCCAGATTCCAGGTGTGGAACAGCCCGCACGCCCATCCGGATCGGACCGATAATATAATATATAATATATTTTTATTTTATATTTTTTTTAAAAAGAAAAATCACAAATTCTTAAACTAAACCTAACTCGCTCGACGCTCACATCCTCACATTGAGCCGAGAAATACCTTCTTTCGCTTTCACCTCACGCTCACTCTCACTCTCTCACTCTTCTCGGTCGATGCTCACCTCACCATCTCCGACTCTCCATCTCCTTCTCCATATTTCTGTCCTTGGCTAGTGGGACCGGTTCCATGGACCCATCTGGGAATCGGACTGGACTGGCGATTTGGTTCCCGAGTGGATCCATGGAACCAACGGGCGGTTCCATGATTCCAATTTTTCGGAACCGGTCCTTAGTGGGCGGTTCCCGGTTCTAGGGTGGGAACTGCCCACACGGACCATGCTCACCCCTAGCCACAAGGGCGGCCCTAGCAAAGGTTGTGAGGGCGACCCTTGCCTGTGGCCAGTCGCCTACCATGGTCGAGCACCAACCATAGGCCAAAAGAAAGAGAAGGAAAAAAATAAAAGGAATTTTTTTTAAAATTATTAAAAATGTTCACGTTAGCATCGGTAGTCCGTCGGTCGTGCCATGTAGGACACCCGACGTCCACGTTAGCAATTTCCGGCTTAAATTGGCTAGATGAACAGTTTGGTATCAATGTGAAAAGGTTTAGGACTAAATTGGTCCAATTAAAAGGTTTACGACTGAATTGGTACCAATGTAATAGTTTTAAGACTTTTTTGGTACTTTTCTCATTGACTAACTGATAGTTTTCACATGGAAAAATTACCGAATCCGTCGTAAAACTATTGTACGTATACCAATTCAGTCCTAAATTTTCAATTTTTCCAATTTAATCCTAAACCTTTCCACGAAATTCAAATGTAGTCATTGTCGGCCGTCTTACATGCACACTGCCATGTTAGCGATTTCCAGTAAAAATTGACCGGAATGACTATATTGGAAATTCGCACAAAGGCTTGGACTAAATTGACATATATACAATATGTTTAGAATTAATTGAACAATTTCTCCATTTTCACAGGCCATGAACCATATAAAAGGTAGACAGTTGGAAAACTGGCTAGGCCAAAAGTTTGGGTATAATTACAAAAAAATCCCAAACTTATGTACTAATACCAATTTAGTCATAAACTTTTAAATTTGATCAATTTGTCATAAATCTTGATGATTTGCTAATATAATCCTTTTGGTCGATTTTGGTTTGGAAATCACTGACGTGGTGGTCTAGTCAATACTGGCCGTCCTATGTGACATGGCCGATACCGACCAACGCTAATGTGGATGATTTTTACAATTTTTTCAAAATTTTCTGAATTTTTTCTTTTTTTCTTTTCTTTTTCTATTTTCTTTTTCCCTATTTCCCTTTGCGACGCCCTTGCACAGATGTGGAGAGGAAACCCTCGTCAAATCTGACGAGGGAGACCCTCACCTATGGCCAATGGAGGTCGCCAGCCATCCCCAATGCCCCGACGACTAGCGGAGGGAAATAGAAAAAAAAAAAAAAAAAAAGAAAAACATGGAAAGAAAAGAAAAGCAAAAAAAAAAATCAGAAAATTTTTAAAAAATTGCAAATATTGTCTACGCTAGCGTTTTCCATGCCTCGTAGGACGACTGGTATCCACATTAGCGATTGTCAGCCAAAATTGGCTGGAAGGCCTACATTGGCAAATCATAAAAAGATTTAGGACTAAATTGGCAAACTTGAAAAGTTTGGGATTGAATTAACATTTGTATAAAAGATTTAAGACTAATCGGACAATATTCCTAAACTATAATAAGAAAATCTCATTCTAAAAATGCAAAAAATACCTTATGAGAGAATGCTTTTCATGAAATTAAGCACATATTTTATCACACCTAAGTTATGAAACTCGAAAGAGGTTATTACATCATAAATATGTAATGCATCTATTACATACTGTATACATGTTTTATTACGTGGATTTTAACTTTCAATAAATTAGCTAAGTGGTTAAGCGCTTGATTTGGATGCAGCAGATCTTCTATTGAAATCACAATTTTTCTCTCTTAAATTAACCTTGGAGGTGTACCCGCCACCCTATGGATGGAATCTTGCATCGAGACAATTGGCATGTATGCGGAAAGATTTGTCAAGCAAGGAAGTTTAAATACTCGTGTTATCCAAATAATATGTTTATATTTTCGGATGTTGATACTATTAGGTACAATTATGAAATTGGTTGTGTCCTAATCACGTACTTAGCATTACAAGACTACAAGAGACGTGGAATCCCCGTTTATATATTATATAATTTGATTTTCAAGTTAAAAGTTAGACGTTAGAATTACTATTGTACAATTTTAAAGTTGTAAACTTCACAAAAAAATTTAATTTCTCTCATTGCAAGGAAAGTTCTCTCTGATTACCATATAACAGTTTAAGAACTCAATCATCATGTGATACTTTCGTAATAAGATATTGTAGGATACTCAAGTTTTGAGGATTTTTAATACTTACGATTGGTCATGAAGTAAAAAGATGTCATGGAAAGATAATATTAATGTTCAACTAATAATTTCTTTTTATTCCTCCTTATTATGTTATTAACGGTGGTTTCAAGGTATTTAGGTTTATTAAGTAATCAATATACACATAATGGAGAACGTGAAGCTTAAATCTAAATAATTGTGGACATACTAAAACCAATATACCATATTGATTTAAAAGTGACATGGCGAGGTTCTAATCTGTGCTTAAATATGACCCGTGTATCTAACTATTTAGTTACAATGTACTACACCACTTTATCAATTAATTTTATGTCCAATTTATTTTTATAAGTGATTAAAGCTCGCGAGAGGTTGTGCTACTTTGCATGCTCACGTGCGAGCTTTAACTGGTAATTTGTTTTTGATGGTTGCTTTAGAAAATCTCTAATCCTAGCAAATCTCTCGTTCTTATACATATTTTGGGCCTAAATCCAAAAAAAAGCACAAACTTTACCTTGAGTGACAATTCTGACCCGAACTTTTTATTGTCTAATAAAAAATCACAAACTTTTACTTAAATTCCAAATCTGACTCGAACAATTTGAAAATTTTACATCACGAGATCAGATTTGGGATTGGAGTAAAAGTTGGTGTAATTTTTTTAACTGAGACAAAAAAATGTTCGGGCCAGAATTGTCACTCAAGGTAAAGTTTGTGCCTTTTTTTTTTTTTTTTAAATTAGCCCCATATTTTGATAACAAATCTCTAATTGATGTACATATTTGACGAAAAAACGAAACGAATATTTGAAAATAACAAAATTAAGTATTAGCAAGTATAAAAACCATCATTACTTAGTTTTTATAGACAAAAAATGTAATTTTAACATATTGTACAATTTTCCATACAACATAAATAAATATTTGAATCAATGCATAATTAGTGGTGACCCTTATCATAAAACGCATTACATTTTTTAAATTTGTACTAAACTATCGACAAAAGAGTTATCCATCATCACAAAAACCCAACACCACATATTCTACAAATGAATTAATAGTATAAAATGATGGAAAATGAGTATTAGCAAATCAACAATTTACTAGTGATTTCAAAAAGTTATAATGAAAGAAAATTAAGTGTCCAGGTATTGCTTCAAAGATTGATGAGATATATAACTAAGAGAAGACTTGATGTTGTTCATTTTCAGCTGTTACTTTGTCAATAATATCAAAAAATTGGGTGATGTTTAGACTCATTGTTAGAAAAGTAAGCCAACTTCGATGAACTATGGAAAGCAACTAGACAATATACCGATCAACGTCCAGTATATCCAATAGTTAGCTTTAAGTATCAATAAATCTAATTAACCCAAATAAGTCCATTCGGCCAATTTTGGCCGGATATCACTAACATAGACACAGATCGTCCTACGTGGCACGACTGACACTAACGTTAACAATTTTTAGTAATATTTTTGTAATTTTGCCAATTAAGTTCTATACTTTTTTTTAGGGTTTTACAATATTCGCCGCACCGCCAATATGAATGCTTTTCCCGAGGATCATGCTTGGGGCCGCCCACTCTCTCCTGATCCCCTTACCACTAGGCCGCTTAGCAGCCCATTCCTCGTTCAGCCCCGACTCATTAGGAGCTAAAGGGGGTATGAACGCTTACTAGTTCTTGAAAAAGTTTAGCAATAGGACTAACTTGAGAGTGATGACCATGAAATTCAAACTGGAGAGACACAGTTCACGATTGAAGTGGGTTGTCAAAACCCTCTTACGCCATGCACAAAGTCATATGATCCTTAAACTATCAACATTTCAACCAAA